CAAAGCAATCTGAGGTCACCCAGATCCTTGTTAAAATGATTTTTTTTAATGAAACAACATTATAATGTAACTGATCGGAAGGTGTCCTAACGTTTACACAGAAGCTGTACCGGTGGAGGGAGGGAGGGAATCACACTCTCTCCTATTCATTGGGACACTTTTGCCAGAGCTCATGCCGGGCTCTGAGGGTAGGTCAGATATCAGCCGAATGAGCTCCTTCTGTGCTGTCTAATTCCATGATAATAAATCAATGTTGTTTGAAACATAATTAGTTAATGATAAATTTGTTCTGTTGTAACACCCTGAATAGATAGGGATTCTCTGAGGCTCTTGTTGTTCACTAACAGAGGCACTGATGTGGAGACCCACAGCCAATAATGGGAAATAAACATTCAAATAATTATTAAGTACAAATACTCATAATTTCATGGCTATGACTGATTGGATTCAGAGCTTATTTCAGCTGTCGCTCTTCAGCTTCCCCTGTCACTGTCACTGTCCCTTGTGTGTGTCGCTGTTGCCATCACTCTCCTTATCCCGGTCCCTCTCCCTGTTACTGGCCTTTAAACCCCACTGCAAATTGTTATCCAATCAATAAACTTTCTGTTCCTTTTGAAAACATCCTTTTCTATTTCATTTAACAAGAACATACACTTTGATTTATATAATAATCCTTAATCGTTTGCTCAATATGCTTAGAATATGATTGAAATCCAGCTCAGTTGCTGATCTTAGTGGGTTTATGCGTTTTGCCCACAAAATATTTCTGTGAAGTGCTTTAAGACATCTCATTGACAAGGTAAAATGGTAATAAGTGAACACATTGGTGTATCAAAGCACTATATCAAATGCAAGGATTATTATTATCATTATTATTAATATCCAAAGCCAGAAACAAAATTTACAAAGGCAAACAAGCAGTTCAAATGTAAGAATTGAGACTGACCCCTTATACATTTAATAACTTCTTATGTATAATAATTCCTTCAGGAGTCCTGTAGCTCAGTGGTTGGAGCACTCAGTTCACAAGTGAGAGATCTGGGTTCAATTCCCAGCCGGTCAGGGCGAAACCTTGGGAAAGTTTCCTTATTCCATAACCTGATAATAATCCCTCAAGAAAAAAATAACAATTTGGTCACTTCAATCCATGACTTCAATCCACAATTGTGCACAGCAGCCAATTGTGCAAAAACTGCTGCGCACAATTGGCTGCTGTGTTTCGCCCACAAATATTCAGTCATTTCACTTTACAGTATAAAGTAGAAGTAGAAGCTATCCAAGCAAACCTCATCAGCCTAATCCACAATAGTGTGAACACTCACACCTCCACTCTCATGTCCTAAGAAAAAAGACAGAGGACAGTTGCCACCTGTGCATACATTTTGTGCGAATAATAAAATATTACTATAACAAAAATATGAATGTGACTCTCCAGACTGTCTTTTATAAGATGTGACAAAATTTACTACAAACAAAAGATTGTTTGAGCTGTTGTAACACAGGAGAGTTACAGTGTCAAAGAAATTCCCAAATACATTTATGAAATAAATACATGGGAGAAATTCATATAGAAATTATATTAAAATATCCTCTGGGAGTTAGTAAGATTATAAAACAATCAACAAAGTCATTAAATTTTAAAAAAACACAAATAGATATGTATACATATTGAACATATTTACATATTACATTGTGATAACCTATAAAAAAGCAGATCATCTTTGTCAGTAATTAAACAACTTTTCACCACTTTATGTCCTAAATCCAGTTTCACATTCCCCAAATGCAACTTTTTTTGCCTTTCATGACATGAAATTCCAACACCGCAACACGTGGAACACTCGGAGTGTTTGGGTTTGTGTGCGGTTCATTACAAGAGGAAATATACACAGTGAGTAATGAACCCCGGGGGGTGAGGGGGGGGGGGTGAGGGGGGGCTGAAGGGGAGAGGGGGTCTGAAGGAGGGAGGGGGGGGGAGGGGGGGGGGGGGGGGGAGGGGGGGGTGAAGGGGGGGGGGTGAAGGGGGGGAGGGGGGGGTGAAGGGGGCGGCTGAAGGGGGGAGGGGGCTGAAGGGGAGAGGGGGTCTGAAGGAGGGAGGGAGGGGTGAAGGGGGAGGGGGGCGGCTGAAGGGGGAGGGGGTGAAGGGGGGGGGGGTGAAGGGGGCGGCTGAAGGGGGGAGGGGGGCTGAAGGGGGGAGGGGGGGCTGAAGTGGGGAGGGGGTGAAGGGGGAGGGGGGCTGAAGGGGGGAGGGGGTGAAGGGGAGGGGGGGTCTGAAGGAGGGAGGGAGGGGTGAAGGGGGGAGGGGGCGGCTGAAGGGGGGAGGGGGGTGAAGGGGGGAGGGGGGGGGGGGGGCGGCTGAAGGGGGGAGGGGGGGCTGAAGGGGGGAGGGGGGTGAAGGGGGGAGGGGGGTGAAGGGGGGAGGGGGGTGAAGGGGGGCGGACGCTGCTCAAATGTTTTTTGATGAAAGAAGATCGCGGCTCTCAGGAGATGAGGCGGTTTGTGAATGTTCTGTAATCCCTGAGATTGATTCGGGGTTAATTCACATCCCAAGAGAGAGGGAGAGAGAGAGAGAGGGGGAAAGAGAGGGAGAGGGAAGGAGAGAGCGAGGGAGAGGGAGAGAGAGAGGGAAGGAGAGAGAGAGAGGGAGAGAGGGAAAGAGAGGGAGAGAGAGGGAAGGAGAGAGAGAGGGAGAGGGAGAGAGAGGAGAGAGAGAGAGGGAGAGGGAGAGAGAGGGAAGGAGAGAGGGAGAGGGAGAGAGAGGGAAGGAGAGAGAGAGGGAGAGGGAGAGAGAGGGAAGGAGAGAGAGAGAGGGAGAGGGAGAGAGAGGGAAGGAGAGAGAGAGGGAGAGGTACACTTTAGCAAAATCGAGTTCAATTCTCGGTGTGAAACCAGAATGAGCCCAAACTCTGGGGTTACAGTGACTCACAGTGTCGCTCATTGAAGTGCGTTTCCAAAGCAAAAACACCGTTGATATCGCTGTAACTTTCTGCTGTCAGACTGTTCGGGTTATTGAGGTGACGGCTCGTTCCCCGTTCCACACTCTGAGGAGGGGCCGGTCCGGCCCGCGGGCCAACTCCCGGCCTGCCGCTCCCGCGGGCTCACTCCCTGTTGCTGTAGTTTATCATTTTGAAGATGCATTTTAAGAGGAAAGTTGTCAGTTGTCCGCAATTTACTTCCTTTTTATCCTCCTTTCCCAAACCTGCTCCAGCTGTTCTGATTAGAACAACCCACGGACAGGTACACACACACAGCCAGACACACACACACACACACACACACACACAGCCAGACACACACACACACACACACACACACAGCCAGACACACACACACACACACACACACACACAGACACACACACACACACACACACACAGACACACAGCCAGACACACACACACACACACACACACACACACAGCCAGACACACACACACACACACAGCCAGACACACACACACACACCACACACACAGCCAGACACACACACACACACACACACACACACAGCCAGACACACCACACACACACAGCCAGACACACACACACACACACACAGCCAGACACACACACACACACACACAGCCAGACACACACACACACACACACACCAGCCAGACACACACACACACAGCCAGACACACACACACACAGCCAGACACACACACACAGACACACACACACACACACACACACACAGCCAGACACACACACACACACACAGCCAGACACACACACACACACACACAGCCAGACACACACACACACACACACAGCCAGACACACACACACACACACACACAGCCAGACACACACACACACACACACAGCCACACACACACACACACACACACACAGCCAGACACACACACACACACACACAGCCAGACACACACACACACACACAGCCAGACACACACACACACAGCCAGACACACACACACACAGACACAGTCACACAGACTTACAGTCAGACCGGCACAGCTCAGACACTGACACCAGAGGCGCCTAAAGTTAACAACAGGTTGAGTTTTAGGGAAACTTCCCGGAGTTTCATTTTTAATATAATTTTAAATATATCTCTCGGTGTCGGTGTCGGTGTCGGGCGGTGGCGGTGTCGGGCGGTGGCGGTGGCGGTGTCGGTGTCGGGCGGTGGCGGTGTCGGTGTCGGGCGGTGTCGGTGTCGGGCGGTGTCGGTGTCGGGCGGTGTCGGGCGGTGGCGGTGTCGGTGTCGGGCGGTGGCGGTGTCGGTGTCGGGCGGTGTCGGTGTCGGGCGGTGGCGGTGTCGGTGTCGGGCGGTGTCGGGCGGTGTCGGTGTCGGGCGGTGGCGGTGTCGGTGTCGGGCGGTGGCGGTGTCGGGCGGTGTCGGTGTCGGTGTCGGGCGGTGTCGGGCGGTGGCGGTGTCGGTGTCGGGCGGTGTCGGTGTCGGGCGGTGTCGGTGTCGGGCGGTGTCGGGCGGTGTTGGAGTGTGAGATGATGGGGATCTCTTCCCGCGAATGGATTTCGATTTTTTTACATTTTAATAATTGCAGAAATAAGAGTAAAAACACAGCCGTCCCGACACACCCCACAGTCACTAAACAGCACGTCCTCTGGGGAGAAAGTCAATATAAATTAGAAAGAAAATAGTTGATAACATTGGCGGCGATCAGTCAGAGAAATAAACACAAACTTCCCGTCTGCTCCTCACCGGCACTCGCGGAGCCGCGGCTCACACACTGCGCTCTTCCTGTCACACTCGGACACAGTATCCGAGACATTTAGTTACGATTTTTTGTTTTAAAAAAATCTTTTTTTCGACTGCGGGGAATGATAAACAGCCACTGGGCTCAGCACAGAACTGTCTGAGAGCTGTCGGTGTCGGTGGCTCTGGGCTGAACGCACTCATTGGTTCCATCCCTTTTGCCATCTTGGTTCCCAATTGCTTTCTAAACTCCAGTGTGTGTTGGTTGTGAGTGTCTGAGTGAGTGAGTGAGTGAGTGAGTGAGTGTGAGAGGCGGTCAGAGCCCTGAGCTGTGCAGTGTGTGGAGCAGAGGGGGACTGTCTGTGTGTGGGTATCCCTCCTCCAAGCCGGGGGGCCCCGGGATGCCCACTGGGGTCATCCGCTTCTCCTTTTGTCTTCTGTTACAAAACCAAACCCTGACCACCTCCTTCTCCAGGTGCAGACTGCCCGCCAGTGCGGTGATCTCGTGAGCTGAGGGCTTGGGGCACTTGAGGAAATGGTTCTCCAGAGCGCCCTTCACCCCAATCTCAATGGAGGTTCTCTTCTTCCTCTTCCTGCCCTGGGCGGCTATCTTGTCTATGCTGCTGGGGCTCCCCGAGGAGGAGTCCGTCTCCTCCAGCCACTTGTTCAGCAGCGGCTTCAGTTTACACATGTTCTTGAAGCTGAGCTGCAAGGCTTCAAACCTGCAGATGGTGGTCTGGGAGAAGACATTGCCATACAGTGTGCCCAGGGCCAGGCCCACGTCCGCCTGGGTGAAGCCCAGTTTAATCCGCCTTTGTTTGAAATGCTTTGCGAACTGCTCCAGGTCATCCGAGGTGGGCGCGTCCTCCTCTGCCGACTCCGGCTGGTGCTGAGGCGGCTCCTGCTCATGGCCACCCGGGTCCTCGTGAAGGGCATCCCTCATGCCGTGGTGCAGGGCTGGCGGCTGCGGGCTCAGCATGCCGCCCAGGCTGCTGTAGCCTGGCTGCGAATACAGTAAGGCTTGGTGGCCGTTGGAGGAAGCTGGCATCCCGGGGAGGTGGTGTCCCGGAGGGCCCCAGGCGCCGGGATGGTTGGCATGAGTTTGTGGATGGACCATATGATGGGAGCGGTGATGGAGGCTGTTCCCGAGCGGGTCCCTGGGAGGCTGCACCCCGGCTTTGCCAGGCTCCGGCTGTCCGAGGTGAGAAGCCGTGACCCAAGGCGCCGGGTCAGTGCCTGAGAGCCACTGGTGGCTGTGGCTGATGGGGTGCCCATTGCTGGCCAGTCCGTGCAGGTAGTCATTCTGCACCATCTTCTGCACCTCTCTGTAAGTGGTCCCTGGGTGCATCCTGTCACAGTCGGGATGCACCAAGGAGTTGGAATGGAGAGAGTTGTTCCTGGGGCTGTAATGGACCGAGGCTGCGGTGGCCATGACTGCACTCACAGACTGAGCGGCGCAGACACTCCGCTGAGCTTTAGCGGAGCAGCGCCGAGAGCGCGGCAGCTCCCGCCCACCCCGCGCCTGATTGGCCCACAGCGGCTGATGGACAGGCCGATCGCCTCAGCTCGGCGGCTCTGATTGGTTCTTTGCACCCGCTTGCTCCCCCCCCCACACCCGCCAGTGCCGCCCTGTGATTGGCTAAGGGCTGATGATCGACATGGCTTCAGACCAATCAAAGCTCAGGGTCCCAGCGGTTGGCACCAGCTCTCACACGCTATTGGTCAGTGTGTGGGGGGGAGGGAATACAGTGCCAGTCCACCACGTGGGCCAGCAGCCAAACCTCACACTGAGCACAGAGAGCCCACCCCCCCACGCCCCCCACCCAGAGCCCACCCCCCCACCCCCCCCACCCAGAGCCCACCCCCCCACCCAGAGCCCACCCCCCCACCCAGAGCCCACCCCCCCCCCCACCCAGAGCCCACCCCCACACCCAGAGCCCACCCCCCCCCACCCAGAGCCCACCCCCCCACCCCCCCCCACCCAGAGCACACCCCCCCACCCCCCCCACCCAGAGCCCACCCCCCACCCCCCCCACCCAGAGCCCACCCCCCACCCCCCCCACCCAGAGCCCACCCCCCACCCAGAGCCCACCCCCACACCCAGAGCCCACCCCCCCACCCCCCCACCCAGAGCCCACCCCCACACCCAGAGCCCACCCCCCCCACCCCCCCCACCCAGAGCCCCCCCCACCCCCCCCACCCAGAGCACACCCCCCCACCCCCCCCACCCAGAGCACACCCCCCACCCCCCCCACCCAGAGCACACCCCCCCACCCAGAGCACACCCCCCCCACCCCCCCCACCCAGAGCACACACCCCCACCCCCCCACCCCCCCCACCCAGAGCACACACCCCCCACCCAGAGCACACCCCCCCACCCAGAGCACACCCCCACCACCCAGAGCACACCCCCCACCCCCCCACCCAGCGCCCACCCCCCCACCCAGCGCCCAACCCCCCACCCCCACCACCCAGAGCCCACCCCTCCACCCCCCCACCCCCCAGCCCACCCACTCCACACCCCCCAGCCCACCCCCAGACCAGCCCCTCCCCAAGCCCCACCCCAGCCCCCACCCCCAGCCCACCCCAGCCCCATGACACCCCAGCCTCGCCCCAGCCCCCAGCCCCCACTCCACCCCAGCCCCCCCCACCCCGTCCCCACCCCCAGCCCACTCCAGCCCAGCCCCACCCCAGTCCCCAGCCCCACCCCCACCCCAGGCCCACCCCAGTCCCTACTCCCAGTCCGCTCCAGCCCCCACGCCACCCCTCAGCCCCCAGCCCCAGCCCACCCCAGCCTCCACCCCACCCCCAGCCCACACCAGCCCCACCCCAGGCCCAGCCCCCACCCCCCAGTCCAGCCCCACCCCCAGCCCACCCCAGCCTCCTCACCCCCAGCCCACCCCAGCCTCCTCACTCCCAGCACCCCCCCCCCCCCCACACACACACACAGTGACACACACTCTCCCAAGCATTCCCCCCCCTACACCTACATACACAGTCCTGACAGTCTGGTTGAAAAATAATAAAACTGATTTAGGATTCTCCAGCAAATGATTATGAAACTAGGTCCTGCTGGGAGGGCTGCTGGGGATATTGGGGGCTAACATCTTGATTGGCGTTTTATTGACATCTGTGCCAGTTATGGCATCACACATATGGCAACACAACACCTGGGTCAACTCTGCAAGTAGGTAGGTCCTGGGCTTAACATTCTCATACCAACATTATATATAATTCCTGATGAACTACTTCTTTCAATTATACTTCAACTCTGCAGCTCGTGTCCTCTCCCGCACCAGGATCCATGACTCTTATCACCCCCGCCCTCGCCCGGCTGCACTGGCTCCCCATCCCCCAAGAGGACAGAGTTCAAAATCTTCTTCCTCACATTCAAGACACCCGCGCCTTCAGCCTCTCTACCCCCACTCGATGGAATTCCATCCCACGTTCCCTCCACCCCGTCCCCCTCCCCTTGCCTCCTTCAAGGCGCATCTCAAAACTCTCCTCTTCTACCGAGCATTTTGATACCCTCCACCGATCCTGACCCCCAGCTCCGGTCCAAATCCCTGACTGCCCAGCGCCTTGGGACGTCCTCCCGACGTGAAAGGTACTACATACACATGTAATTTGTGTTGTATATTCATTATTTCGTATGAAAATCTACATTTATAACCATCCGAATTTTGTTGATCTGATCCGAATCAATAGGATAACAATTGTTAATAATAGTAATAATTCTTGCATTTTGCATCATCTCCATACAACGAGTTTCTGGTCTGGTTAATAGTATAATAATAATAATAATAATAATAATCCTTGCATTTGATATAGCGCTTTTCACGTCGGGAGGACGTCCCAAAGCGCTTCACAGAACACACTGTAAAGTGAATTGACTGTATATTTGTGGGCGAACGCGGCAGCCAATTGCGCACAGCAATGTCCCACAAACAGTCGTAGATTGAAAATGACCAATTTATTATTGTTTTGGTTTTGGAGGGATTATTATTAGGCTCTGTGTGGAGTAAGGAAACTTGCCCAAGGTTTCGCCCTCTGCCTGGAATTGAACTCAAGTCTCTCACTTGCAAAGCGAGTGCTCTAACCACTGAGCTACAGGACTCCACTAATAGTTGAGAGAAGAGCCGATTTGCCTCCCTCTCCCGGACCCAGCGCTGCCCCCCACCCCCCACCACCACCCCGGCACTGTCTATCTGTCTGATTACTTTTCCTTTCATGTGTTTTGCCTCTCAGCAAATTAACAATTGTGCGAATTGCAGAGCAGCCTGAGCGCCTCCCCCTTCCCCCTCCCCCCCGCACCCTGCACCCTCCGTGTCCCCCCCGCCCCCCACACACTACCCCCCGGCCCCTTCCCCCTGCCCCCCGCCCCTCCGCACCCTGTCCCCCACCCCCCCGCCTGGATGTGTGTGACTGTGTGCTGGGTGTGTGTGACTGTGTGCTGGGTGTGTGTGACTGTGCTGGATGTGTGTGACTGTGTGCTGGGTGTGTGTGACTGTGTGCTGGGTGTGTGTGACTGTGCTGGATGTGTGTGACTGTGTGCTGGGTGTGTGTGACTGTGTGCTGGGTGTGTGTGACTGTGCTGGGTGTGTGTGACTGTGCTGGGTGTGTGTGACTGTGCTGGGTGTGTGTGACTGTGTGCTGGGTGTGTGTGACTGTGCTGGGTGTGTGTGACTGTGCTGGGTGTGTGTGACTGTGTGCTGGGTGTGTGTGACTGTGTGCTGGGTGTGTGTGACTGTGTGCTGGGTGTGTGTGACTGTGTGCTGGGTGTGTGTGACTGTGTGCTGGGTGTGTGTGACTGTGTGCTGGGTGTGTGTGACTGTGCTGGGTGTGTGTGACTGTGTGCTGGGTGTATGTGACTGTGCTGGGTGTGTGTGACTGTGTGCTGGGTGTGTGTGACTGTGTGCTGGGTGTGTGTGACTGTGTGCTGGGTGTGTGTGACTGTGTGCTGGGTGTGTGTGACTGTGTGCTGGGTGTGTGTGACTGTGCTGGGTGTGTGTGACTGTGTGCTGGGTGTGTGTGACTGTGTGCTGGGTGTGTGTGACTGTGCTGGGTGTGTGTGACTGTGTGCTGGGTGTGTGTGACTGTGTGCTGGGTGTGTGTGACTGTGTGCTGGGTGTGTGTGACTGTGTGCTGGGTGTGTGTGACTGTGTGCTGGGTGTGTGTGACTGTGTGCTGGGTGTGTGTGACTGTGTGCTGGGTGTGTGTGACTGTGTGCTGGGTGTGTGTGACTGTGCTGGGTGTGTGTGACTGTGCTGGGTGTGTGTGACTGTGCTGGGTGTGTGTGACTGTGTGCTGGGTGTGTGTGGACTGTGTGCTGGGTGTGTGTGACTGTGTGCTGGGTGTGTGTGACTGTGTGCTGGGTGTGTGTGACTGTGCTGGGTGTGTGTGACTGTGCTGGGTGTGTGTGACTGTGTGCTGGGTGTGTGTGACTGGTGCTGGGTGTGTGTGACTGTGCTGGGTGTGTGTGACTGTGTGCTGGGTGTGTGTGACTGTGTGCTGGGTGTGTGTGACTGTGCTGGGTGTGTGTGACTGTGCTGGGTGTGTGTGACTGTGCTGGGTGTGTGTGACTGTGTGCTGGGTGTGTGTGACTGTGTGCTGGGTGTGTGTGACTGTGCTGGGTGTGTGTGACTGTGCTGGGTGTGTGTGACTGTGCTGGGTGTGTGTGACTGTGTGCTGGGTGTGTGTGACTGTGTGCTGGGTGTGTGTGACTGTGTGCTGGGTGTGTGTGACTGTGTGCTGGGTGTGTGTGACTGTGCTGGGTGTGTGTGACTGTGCTGGGTGTGTGTGACTGTGCTGGGTGTGTGTGACTGTGTGCTGGGTGTGTGTGACTGTGCTGGGTGTGTGTGACTGTGTCCTGGGTGTGTGTGACTGTGTGCTGGGTGTGTGTGACTGTGTGGGTGTGTGTGACTGTGTGGGTGTGTGTGACTGTGTGGGTGTGAGTGACTGTGTGGGTGTGTGTGACTGTGTGCTGGGTGTGTGTGACTGTGTGCTGGGTGTGTGTGACTGTGCTGGGTGTGTGTGACTGTGTGCTGGGTGTGTGTGACTGTGCTGGGTGGGTGTGTGTGACTGTGTGCTGGGTGTGTGTGACTGTGCTGGGTGTGTGTGACTGTGTGCTGGGTGTGTGTGACTGTGCTGGGTGTGTGTGACTGTGTGCTGGGTGTGTGTGACTGTGCTGGGTGTGTGTGACTGTGTGCATCACCAGGATACAGAGGGTTTGTGGAGATGGTACATTTCCACACTTCATGCGCTGAATTCTGATTGACACTTATTAGGAAATAACAGTATCACTTTGTCTCAAAAAGCAGAATCCTGCAGATGCTGGAAATCTGAAATAAAAAATGCTCTTTGAGACGTTTCTTAGAGAATGTTATGTCTGTGAAAAAAAAGCCAGAATAACTTTTGTTACACCAACACATC